CCCTAGACCCTAAGCCCTAAACCAGAAGGAGCTCGAGAGCTGAGAAACCAAGAACCTCTGAAATCTGTATCTAAAGTCACGCCACCAAGTCTCCCATTCAGTGCTACCCCTGCTTGGGGAGGATCAGGGGGACAGAGTGAGTTGGATAATAATGGAGATAACTAGGGTTACTATGCGGATCATGGGGGCTATTAACCTACTAAGTCCCCCTGACTCTCTTTTCTATTAGATAACGCCTCTATCTTGTGCATCTCTAAAGTTTGCAAGGAGTCAGAACCTTACAAAGACGAGAGACTGGTACAGCTCCCTTTTCACCCTAGCTGGCCCCCTGAGTAGCTTATTACGAAACAGTAGTGCTAGTCTTAAACCACGGTCATGGGGAGTTCCATGCTTGTATCTCGAATCCTTAGCCCTGAGCCCTAAACTCAAACCGTGTAATGTTGCCATGGGACGACTCGTCGCCCGCCCAAGACTTGGACTGTCTGGTAGGCCACCTGCGAGAGAACTACCGTTCACCCAATTTCAAGCCAAAAAACTTTCAACCCCAAAAACATCATCACCGTATAAGCCCCATAATATGCCCCCTGTCCCTAGGGGCACTGTAGAACCTAAATGATTACCCATATTGTCTTCTTAGAATCCTTACTCATCTATCCTTGACCCGTAAATCCCAAACAGTAGCTTTCACTCCATTTTCCATGTGATTCTCCATGATTGGCGTAAGATGCATAAAGCCTATACAATTCCCATGTACTGAAACCTCTATATAAAAGCCGAAAGGAACCACAGAATTGTTAGAAACTTCCACCTGGAGCTGCAAGGCTTCCGCGCCTTAGCTGACTGTGGGATTTGGGCTGGGTCTTCAACAAACGCTATTACCCCAATAATGCAGAACTGAATGGAAAAGACTATGGAACATAAGATGGAACCTAGTGTGATGTAGGAGTTTTATGGAGATATGGGGGGGAGTGGGAAAAGCAAATAGAAACTACTGCTGATTTGCCTTTGGTTCGAAAGGAATGGAGGAAGGGACCCTGCTTGCAATCCCTACAATAATCCAAAACTCATAGGCTTTTAGCTCGAGGGTTTAGGGTGTAAGGGTTTACGTTGTTTTTGTAGCCCTCAAGGGTTTACCGTTGAGGATTCATGGTTGGCACCAACCACACATGCTTCATGGATCCCACGCCAAGCAGCTTGGCATACATGTTTAGGGAAAGGTTATTGTAGGGATCCATTCCCCTTGATGCACTGCCCTTAACCAGCATCAGGTTGGCGTTCTGTAGATTTTCTCGCTGTATCACCTAATCTTACTGGTTGTTAGTAAAGCATCAGATAATATAATTCCTGTATAGCCCCTAAAAAATACATTCCAATATTCCCTACTAGGAATCTATAAGTAGAGGCTTCCTGTCATGAAGCCCTGAAAAGAGGTCCTTGGGTCTGGGAAAGCGAGTCCTGCTGCTGCGCTGAGGGGCATTCCGCGAAGGCGTTGATGATGTTGTCAACAGGATAGAAGGAGTTCAGCAACCTCGGGGTTTAGGGTTTTAGGGCGGAGGCCGAGAAGAAATGGGTTTCCATGACTGATTATGCTATCATCCTTGGTGCTCTTTCTTGCTGGGGGGGGGTAGCAGGGAATAAGGGAGTATAATCCCTATGCATCCCATTATATTCCCTTATTCCCTACTAAGAGCCAGTAAGTTTTTGTGTGGGGGATCAACTACCAGTGTTCTTCTCACGGCTGCCCTAGCTCCCGGGGTGCTGGTGCTACTGGATTCCATAATGAAAGCATGAAGGGGGAAGAGAAAGGGGTAGGAGAGCTTCTCAATGTTTCACGGAAAACCTAAGTGGACCGAATATATGTGGGGCCCTATATTTAGATTATTTGGAGACCATAGGGGGTTTTGAGAAGTCGCCGGGATGCAGCAGGGAGGTCGTAGGGAGTTTCCTCTGGGACTCCTGAAATATTCTGAAGATCTCCTTGAAACAGATAGCTCTCAGTTGAGATTGCAGGGTGTGTAGCTAGTGATCACTCCTTGAGAGTGAAGGGTTCTGGGCAAGGACTTCCATAGGAGGTTCCTGATAGTTTATCAGAAGACCTGCCAAAACAATAGAAAGCCTGTCAACCCTGTAGGGATTCACTCGGTTGTTATTGCAACATTGTCGCCGATTTCAGCCCCCCCGCCCCCACTCCGTAATACAAAAAGAATATTCCCACGACATAATAGTCTATCACAATTGAAATATTCTTTGTTGGGGGGGTTTTACATAGATTAAGAGTCTACAGCCTAATTCGTTTACAAACTCTGTTTTGGATCAGGGACTGAGAGGTCCGGACGGTTCATTGCAGTAGTTTGCGCTTTTGCTAGCTCTTCTTTTAGCTTAACCTTTGTCTTGCCCTGTTGCCTCACTTGGTTAGTAAGTGCGAGAACGCCGAGTTTGGCCTGTGACGAATTAATCTTTTGACAGATAGGAGATCGAGAGGCTCATTTTCTGTTGCATGCTTGATACGCCTACCGGCCATCGGAATTGATGCATCAGCGAGGCTTTCCGTGCAAAAAACAGATGGAGCAAATACTCGAAGGTTGAATGGAAGAGGAGGCCCCTTCTACCTGTACGATATGAGGCATCCGGTGAGTGAGGTGCGGTTGGGTATTTCTCAAAATAAACTCGCTCTCTCTCTCACAGGGACTCGATGGCGCGTAGCAATGCAGCACTTTACTGGTATTCAGCAAAGGCACCGTCGCGTGGCCTACAACCTCAAAAATGAACTCTACAGAATCCTGAATAAGGACCCCTTGCGTATAATCCTTGTATATATCTTACATATCCCCCGTGTTCCCCGTGCGTCCCAGTTTTTCAGAAATCCCAGCTCAGCGCTGCAGGCGACTTTTGCAAGTCCGAGGTACAAAAAGCTTGGCATCCATCCGGTCCCATAGCCAACATCCAAGGCCCTGGGGTAACGTGGCCAGGCATTCCTGAGCAGCCGAAAAAGACAACCCCTGCGCCCTGAGCTCTGGTAGCATTACCCCAAGAGTAATGGGTAAAATGCACGACCGAAAGAAAAAAAAATCGGCCATTACTCTACATCGTGTGGGTGTCCACTTGGGCCAATGGGCTTCGAGCCGGGACAAAATGTATCTGAGGCACGTGGTAGTTGATGAAAAAGCCTGCTCCCCAAACGGCCCTTCTGGAAGGTCAGTCATTTCCCCCACATTTTCCGTTATAGGCTTACAGAAACCCTCAGCGATTCCCCCAAAGAGCTTTAGATCAACTTCCAGGTCATCTGGATTAGCCAACTACGATTGATCAGCCACTGAGCACAGCGCTCTGCGGGAAGAGGGGGGGATGATATCAAGGGTTTCCCAAAATCATCCATTTTTGGGGTCCCCATAAAAGGATTATAGCATTTTGGGGTCTATTTTGGGGTCCCCCGATCTAGGAAAACTACCACGTACACGACCATCATGAATCCCGTATTGTGGCGCCTCCTCATGCGGACGCTCCTAGCCAGGGTTGTCTTCGAAGCTGGTTATTCCTCACATGTTTTCTTCCTGCATGGGGTCTTCTCATACCCGCTCACAATCTGACTGTAGATCAAAACCTAGACAGGCCCATCATCTTTTCGGCAGATTTCCTCTTGCAGGCCATTGCGGACCAGTTGCTCGAGGAAGCCTATTGCCTGGAAAGTAGCACGATACTCCTGGCAAGCAGGTCTCACGCCCCGAAACCTAGAGAGAATGAGCCCTGCCTAGACCAGTGCTCATTTTAAAGAGGCCAACATGGTATATAGACCCTAAACCCTAGACCCTACTGAAATTTGAGCCCCAATACAGACCCCTAAACCCTAAAAACCCTAAACCCTAAACTGCAACCTCAAACACAAACAAAATCAGCGCCTTTGGCTTGATGATGACTGGACCTTGCCGCCCGCTACCTGAGTTGTAGACCAAGGATTTCAAAAGGCTTTCGGGTTCGAGGTCTGGGGTCTGAAGGTTTTTTTTGTAACACCCGTTCGCAACTTTTCTGTGCAAGCGTATCGCTAAGGTCTGAGGGTTTAGTGTTTAGGGTTCTAGGGTCTTGTGGTTTAGGGTTTTCAGGGTTCAGAATTCCAAGGTTTCACGGTTTCCGGGCTTAAGGCTACATACTACCAGATAGTAGAATTTCGAAGAGGACATATTGGCGTTTAGGGTTTGGGGCTGGAGGAAGGCTGTAAAGAGCTTGTTTTCGGAGGATGTACTACCATGTAATAGATAGAGTTAAGAAACATCTTGGGGTTTTACAGCGATATTTGGGGGGTACAGGTTGTAGGTATAGATTGGGGCAATGGTGGAGCATCACATGGAAAATCGACTGCGAAAAAGGAAATGGACACTAAGGCTCTCGTGACGCCAGTGGATGTGATAGCGATGATGTCAAAGTCAAAGCGCTTAGGCTTAGGGTTTCCAAACATTGCTGAAGTTGGGAGGCCCTGGTCCAAGCAGTTTAGGTGTTAGGGTTTACCTGAACCCCAAGAGTATGTAAAACACTGGCTCATTGAGCCGTTTTTGAGGAATTTCGGGGCTAATATTTTACCTACTTCTGGGGTCCAGGTAGGGTTCTCCCCGCGACGCCTCAGCTCCCTCAGTTCGGCTTCGGGTGGGGGTGTTGGGCCGAAGGAACGATATAGGGGTTGCACGCGGACTGTATGGGCAGTGTCTTATGTGGTGGAAGAGGAATATGAGAACGAGTTTGTATGGATCTCCAGGACTTGCCCTGGACCCTTTTGCCTAAACCCGAGATATTGGACTCCCATTTTCAGGGTCTCTCTGCTAAGGATCCTAGTCTTGCTCGAAAAATTACACACCGGAATGAAGACCTTATTAGGCGGGATGTCTCAGGATGAGTGGCCATAGTGAACAGTGTAGTGCTTGTATAGGGCTATTTAGGGGTTGTATACGGATATATACGCGCGAGGGGCACGTCTGGTGTATGGCTAGGCCCTCAGCATGCGGATGGTTCTGGATGATGTTCAGAAGCCCTGCTATTCTCGTGCTATTTTCGTGCAGCTAAAGCATAGGTAGTTACCCAACCTTCAGCCCCCTAAACTGCACAATCCATTCGTACAAGCTCGACCATAAAGCTCATGAGGCAAGTGATCCGCCACAGACAGAACTCCGGAAAGCAAAGATTCCAGAAGCATGCCCACCGACTGGATTGGATAAGCTTAACCCTTACCCTGTAGCACTAAGATCCTCATCAGCACCTCATCAATCTACGTACGGCAACCCTCATAAAGTCCCACTGCGAAGACCTTCTAGTGCATTGATTGTCCTTACAAGCCCCTACACCGCCAAGATACACTTATGCTTAATTGGGCATCACGGAACGCATCCCTGACGAATCACAAATAACACCTGCAATGATCCATATAACTCATGCCCCATGCCCACCCAAGCATGCAAGGATTCTCTGAATCCCAAACCTTACCCTATCATAGACCGCAAGCTCCAGCCTCTAAGCCCTGAACCCCTAAGCCCTGAACCCTAAACCCTAAACCCCAAACCCCTAAACCCCAAATTCTCACCCAGTAGCGCCCTGCACCAGACCCAGTCAGCGAGCCCCCACCCAGCAGCGGACTCTTGCCGGAAGAGAAAGTACGGATTAGACCTAGGCTCCCTAATGTTAGGGTTTAGGGTTTAGGGTTTAAGGTTTAGGGTTTAGGGAAATTTCAAAATATGTTCACTACCCAGTTTAAATCCATTTTGGTACTATTTCCTATATAAGCCACCATTTTGGATGAGGTCGCTTTAAATTGCCCAGATGTTAGAACAAGTATACAAGCCATAGGGATTAGGGGTTTTGGCTTTTTCGGGCGTAGAGTTTAGGGGAATCTCATGCTACTTGAAGGTTCATGGGACTTAGCAACTACTTCTAGCGGGCTTATAACCCTCCTTACAAGCCCCCTGACTGGACTTATGTAAGTTACCCTAAGTACAACTAGGGTTATAGGACACCCAAATAAGTATTTACAAGCTCCAATGAACTCCCTAAACCCTAACCTTAAACAGGGGATTGGGAGTGGGGGGTAAAGCTGCTTCTTATTCAGGTTTCTGCAATCCCTCGTGCTTGGTAGGGAATGAGAACATCGGAATGAATCCCTGTACTCCTCCCCAAATAATATTAAGGGTTTAGGGTTCAGGGTCCCCAACAGAATCTTCCCTATACTCCATTGCCCTACTTCTACCACACACCGGGGAGTTGTGGGCTAACGACGGTTGTATAATCTAACCCGGCACTGCTCGTCGACCCTGCGCACTAAACCCTAAATCCTAGACCCGAACCCTCCTATGTAGTTCAAATTTTTGGGTAGTAGATTATAATCCCTTACCCAAGAGCCCGTGACAAACCCAAAGAGGAACTATATAGGAGACCTTGGGTAAACCCTAGCCCTGGGGCATGAGGTAGAAGGCAAAGCCTAGGCCCCCCTAAATCCTAGAACCTTAAACCCAAACCTTAAAACCTTAAAACTTACACCCTAAACCTTAAGGTCCTAAACCCCAAGCCCTAAAACTTGAACCCTAAACCTTAAGGTCCTAAACCCTAAACCTTAAACCCTAAACCTCGGCCCCAGGCTTCCTCCGGCGTCGGAGGCGCCGGCCATGATCTGCTCGCCATTCACCACCTGGGTTGCTGCTAAGGAACTTAAATTAAGTTACCATAATGGGTATATAGGGTTTAGGGTTTAGGATTTAGGGTTAAATTAAGTTACCATAATGGGTATATAGGGTTTAGGGTTTAGGGTTAAATTAAGTTACCATAATAGGTATATAGGGTTTAGGGTTTATAGGGTTTAGGGTTTAGGGTTAAATTAAGTTACCATAATGGGTATATATAGTAGATAATAGGGTTTCCCCAATATAGTAACTTAATTTAAGTTCCTTAACAGCAACCCAGCCACACTCGGGTGCCTTGCGACGATGTTCTTCTCGCTGATCATTATCCTCAGATGAGCTATAGTTTAAACTCCTTAAAGGGGATATATAGGGGGATTGTATAGGGAACCACTATAGGGGTTATCAGAGGGGATACTAGGAGTTTTGACTTTAGCTCAGATAGGGCTTGGCATGAGTTTTAGGCAATATCTCCACAAGGGTATTATATAGGGTGTATAGGGATCAATGGAAAAGAAAAGGGAAACTACTATTCAAGGTTTAGGGTTCAGGGATATTACCCCGCTAATGGAGAATCAAATGGAAAGATCATGAAACATGAAATGGAAACTGCGCTTATATGACATGAATGTTTACAAGGATGATTGTCTACAGTATGTAGGACCCCGTCTGAATTTCTGTTCCCAAATAGAGAGTTTTAATTAGGGACCTGTATTGTTATAGGAACTCCAATAAAGAGGGACCCGCATGAAAAGGGTGGAGTTCGTCGAGTTTTTTATTTGTTCTTCCTTTTTGTTTCTTCTTTGCTTCCCTTTTGGGAGAATGCTAGGACACTCCATGCCGGAGCTTGCTTTTCAGCAAAAATTAAAGGACGCTACAGCTACCTCCACTTCAGCAAAAGTGTGAGGACGCTCCATGCGAGAGGCGAAGTGTGATGACACCCCACGCGAGAGTTCGACTTCCACGGCTCAGAACTCGTAGGAATAATGGAGGAAGAGACATATGAACAATAGCAACAAGAGGATTCACGAGACAACTAATCGTAAGACGCTTCACGCCAGAGCTCGATTTCCTCAGCTAGGAACCATAACATGAAGACAAGTATGAACAATAATATAACTGTAAGTACTAGTATTAATAATAGCAACAACACTATTAAGACCATGACAAAAAGGATAGTATAATGATAAAAGTAAAATTCGTAGTATCATAATAAGAGCAAAAATGGTATTAGTAGCGACAGTAAGAAAAGAAATGAACGATAAAACAGCAATAATAATGCTAAAGCACGAAATAGAATGAATAATTCTAAGAAGAATAGCTATAGTCATAAGACCATGTAGTAATTCAGCAATAACAGTAACGATGGTGAACGAGGTGGCAATAGAAATAAAGGTAACAGAATAAGCAATACCAATACTACTGCTAATCATAGTAATAACAACAACGATGAGCATAATTAACACAGTGAGGGAATGAGTAATGAGGATGATAATGGCCGAGAATCGTACTAACCGTATCCATTTACTGACCATAATAGTAAAATCCTGATAATATGATACACTTAAAACGACAATTAGATTGGTATTAGTGCTGAAATTCAAAAGCACAGACAATACAAAAACCACGAAAAGTAATCTGATCTTGCAGCAATTCCTACAGGGTTGCACGACTTAAAAAGACGGGAGGGCTGGGGGGAGAGGCCCCGCTGTTTGCAAAAACAAAGCTCGCAGACCAGGTTCAAAAAGGATACATGTGGGTCTTGCGGCAATTTCTGCAGGGTTGCAAATCTAAAAATGCCGAGGTGTTTGGGGGGGGCGCAGCACCCATAAGGCAAGGGCCCAAAAAAGAAGAAGAAATAACACCAGCAAAGGGAAGATAAAAATGCGTCTTCCGTATAACAATGAATTTAGGCAAATTTCCAAGGAGGTGCTTCGCAAAAAAAGAAGAGCGCAAACTTTCGGAGACCCCTCCTAGCTGTGGGAAGATCCAACGCTTGCACTCTTTGTCACAAACCCTCAAGGTATGGGGTGCGGGGGAAGGCAGCTATATCCAAGCAAGGTAGGAACCTGTCTATTTGAGGTACCCTATACCATACTTATACAAGGACTTAATAAAACAAACAATTGCGGTTCTAGACCCCTGCGTGAACCCAGTTCCCGTTTCATGTTCCATGTCCTTTTCCACTTGACTCTCCATGAGTGGGTGATATCCCCGCAACAACCCACCTATATATATATATATATACACATGTATACATATACATATGTGCATGTGCTGCACCATGTGTATATATATATATGTATATACATATTACACATCCCACCCAGTAGTCTGGACCAAGCATCAGCCCTGGGCAGTCAAGCACGTGATCCTCCTCAAGGGACTCCTCAAAAACCAATGTTCGTCGAAGGCCATGCACCACCTGCAAAGCAGTTTACCATCCTCATGATGGCGGTTTATGGTTTACGGTATAGTTGTGAGGGTGTAGGGCCTCAAGCCCTCAAACTACTCCCCTCCCACCTTTCAACCCCCACAACCCCCTAGCATAAACCACATACCTGTTGTATCCTGTTGTGGCATACTACAATACATCGGGCACATTTAATGTTAGGGGGAGGGGAGTAGAAACACTCCCGGAAGCCTCACCTGCAACCCCTAACCGCACATGGGGAGAGAAAAGGAACGGCAGCGTGCTATAGGTGCCTGAATAAGTGCCAATATATATTTGAGGTCCATTTGAAAGGCCCCATGCTGCTGACTGTCGCCATTGGCATGCTGGCCCGCAGCACGTGTGGCTACTCCCCTTCGCATTGTACTGTACAAGGAATCTAGGACCGTCATTTTGGTAACTATCCCCATAAAACCACTTGATAACCCCAGTTTCCATCTACAGTTCCATTTTCCAGTTGAGTCTCCACCTGACATTGGTCATTATTCAGGCTCTGAGCCCTGAACATTACGTCTCAGACCATGAGCACAATCCCAAACTTTAAACCCTAAAGCCTATAGTATTTAGTCAGGCCCTTATAGTACCTTGAGCTGCTCCCTTGCCACGACCATGCCATAGCTTGCCAGGGCGTCCTCTGTAACCCGCTCCATCTCCATGTTGTTCATCCGGCAAAATGACCTGCGGAACGTAGCATATGGGATGCACATATGGGGATTACATAGAGGATATCTACGGGTAATCTGGGGTTGCGTGGGGATATACATGAACAAATGGCCCCAGAAACGGAGAACTGGACAGAACATGGAAAATGGAAGGGAAACGTTCTGCTTGTCATGCATTTCCGGGCGCGGGGAAGGGCCAACGGGCCAACCCAGCTTGTGTTTCCTAGTTTCTTGCCATGGCGAGCAGCGCGTACATGAGCTCAAACTCCGCAAGGTTCCAGGTGCGACATATGATGAAGCGATGGGATCGCATGGGCAAGTTCCCGTCATCCAAGCTGCCTGAGGTAGGTCTAGCCGCAATCACAAATCTAGCATTGGACCAATATAACCCCGACATAGCCCCTATGTAACCCATTATAGCCATCTCTTAGCCAGGGCACTTCGGGCATATGTATGTTCTCCGTCGTGGTTGTACGCCTCGACGCCCATCTGGCATACAACGTAGTTTGCTGAGATGCCCTCCTGGGTCGGGGCTTTTCCAAAGCAGAATAACCAGCTGGAGGGCTTGCAAATTGTGACGCACTTACCTGGACCCATAGGGTAGGAAGAATTATGATCTTGACTTTTTTTTGATGATCCTGGTCCACCATATTACCCACTTTTGGTGTCCAGGTATGAGGGGCGTATCCGAGTTTTCAAGGTCTTCCTCTGAAGGGTTCTGTAGGCTGCTACCCGAGACCCTACACCGTAAACCTTGGCCGAAGAGATTGACACATAGATCTATACTTATATAGCTACCCCCCGACGTCGGGAATTGCTAAGTTTGGGTGCCACGAAGCCATGCCAAGCAGGTCGCTGTTTGGAGAACGCTGCTTTATTTCACAGGTTGGCTGACCACAACACCAAGAATTCTCAAATTTTCGCTGTCGCATTCTGAGGTGCCTCCCTTATAGTTTGGACATTCTTTGGCACGTCAAATTACTGGCCCTAAACCCCAACCCTAAACCCTAAATAGTAGTTCTCATTCTATTTTCCATTATCCCAAGTAACCCCACTATGACCCTAATATTACACCAATGAGTAGTGTTTTTTCGGTGGTTGAACCTAGTAAGATCATATTCCTTATATAAAATACTATACCCCAAAAAAGGGTAGAATCTTACTCTATATTGGGTACCATAGTATCCGCAAATCATATACTACTCCAATGGGTAAGTTAACCGTAAGCCCTCTGTGAAGCAACTTGTCTTAGGCCCAGGCCGGGAAAGTAATCATGATCGAGGCCCCGCCGTTGGAGACTTGGGCCTTTTCCACCAGAAGCACAGGGTCCAGGTCCTTGTGACAGCCATGGGCACTTATATAGCCCCCCCAAGTAGATAGAATATGGGGTATATGGGGATCTTACTATAATATACCCCCAGCCATATTCTATCTACTTAAGGGGGACTATAACCCTAAGCCCTAAATTTTTTGGGCACTCAGGGAGCATGTAGGATGGGCTTAGGAACCCGAACCCGTATAAGCTTTGGGGTTATATTGGGATAACGGAAAAGAAGAATGGAAACTACAGAACTTATAGGGGCTACATGGGGGGTATATGCGGTATATATTGGGTTTATATAGGGCTAATGGAAAGAAAATGGACACTACTATAGGCTTAAGGGCTTAGGGAAAGCTTGCGGGGATTTACACTTTCATAAGCATACCTGCCTTGTCATAACTGTCCCTTGTTGCACACCCTGTCGACCTGGACACCTGTTTGCACAAAAAATAACAGGGTTTAGGGTTTAGGGGTTCGCCTTGGCTCTTTAACCGCAAAATCATGAACTATTTAACAGCTAGCAAAAGACTGTTATCTTTGGAGCGCTCATCAGTTAGGGTTAGTTCAACTTTTCTCAAGCCTCACCACATGTCCAGCAACTCCTCTGAGTTCAACACACGCTACTTAGGGTTTCGGGTTTAACTTAGTATCTAGGGGGTTCCCGAAAGTAGGGGTACTTCTTGGGGGTTGTTTTTACAAGGATGACAGTAATTTGGGCTCTATGCTGGGGTCCGCCTAGTTTATGGAAACTACCATTTGAGGCCCCACAAGGGGGCCATACTGTTGACAACCACTCAGAACTGGAAGGGTAGGCGAACTCAAGCGAAGCGTGCAGTACATCGTGCCGAAACCCTAGATAGTAGCTTCCATGTGATTTCGCACTTGACGCTCCACCTTTCCTAAACCTTTTGATTCTCAACTACTTCGCACTCTCTATCTCTCTCTGGTGCCTCAATTCCGTGTCAACGTCAATGAGCGCCACACTGTCTTTTGCAGCGCAGCACAATTTCAGGACCCTAAGCACTAAAAGCCACCCTATATGTCGGTTTACGTTTTTAGGGTTTAGGGTATCCAAACATCTCCCCAAATATCCCTATATCTCTATAGATCCCAATACGTCGTGCCTGCGTTCGACTGGGCTTCAGCTGGGCTTCAGCTGGACTACAGCTTCATGGGCAACTTACAATCAGTCAACATCCAGAAGTAAGGCTCTTTTCATGGGCTACTATGGGTTTCCCAGGACCTTGTTAAGGGTCATTGGGGATTATTCGGGCTTATTTAGGCTGATAAGGCTATATCAGGCCGATTAGTTGGGGGGGGGCATGGCAGTCCTATAACATTTTGGGACTAACCCCCTACATAAACCACCATTTAGCGGGCTGAGGTCACGAGAATTTGCCCAGAGCCTCTCTCCAGATGTCCATGAGTTCAAACGGCTGCGTACAATGGTGAGTGCTGTTGAGCGTCGTCATCAGGATAAGACATGTAAATGTCGAACTCCTTGATTTCCTGATGGGAGGTCTTGACACAATTTAGGGCGGGCGACTAAGATTACGAGGATACATAGGAGTACTGGAGAATCAAACGGAAAAGAACACGGAACATGAAATGGAAACTGTGATGATACCGCGGGCTATCTCTAGGTCAGGATAGGTGGCCGTTTAGTTCAGGAGGGCCATCCCAGTAGCGCACGGAATGTGTTGCCAAGGCGCAGTAAGAGATTCACCTTGGATCCCACTGTTTGGCACAAGAGGATTCCCGGACAACAAAAATCTACTTTGGGGCACAGTCGATCACGGATTTAATATATATATATATATGGATGATGAAGCAAAGACAAGGTTGGTGTTTTGAGCCTTTACCCTAACCCTGCTATGTAGTTCCTTTTTGGGTAGTATGTTAGAATCCCTGTCCAAAAAAACCATAGCAGACCCAAAAAGGGACTACACAGGAGACCTTGGGTGAACCCTAAACCCTAAATCCTAAACCCTAAACTCCCTCCACATCCAATGCTGTGCCAGTCAGGTCGCTGGTTGGATCCCAGGATACAAATCGCTCCATGCCCTCGTAGTAGATCCTTGGGTTTAAGTAGGGGTTTGGGGTTTAGGGTTTAGGGGTTTGGGGTTTAGGGTTGAGGGTTTAGGAGCTTGCTAGCTTCGCCCTACACCCTGTAGCCCCCCTTAAGTAGATACAATATGGCTTTGGGCATCTTACAATAAGACCCCCATATACCCCATATTCTATCTACTTGAGGGGGACTGTAAAGCCAAATCATGTCTGAAACGCGGTTGTTGCAAGACTTGTTCAGGCTCTTGGCATCTCGCTCTCCACCAAGCACAAGTAATGTTAAGGCATGCTCAACAAATAGTGAGGTGCAGAATTCTGATATACAAGTCATCTTGAAGAGACTTATGCCACCCCAAATCAAGTCCCTCATAATTAGCTGCCCAGACATTGCAGGGCCCATTTAACAGCTCAGTTTGAGGCGAAGAAAATACCTTCAGATTTCTGAAACGCCGTTAAACCCTGAGGCCTCCCCTTAAATAAAACAGCTCCACGCATTCGCGGCTAGGGCTCTCCCCTGGAGGGTCCGACTGGAAAAAGCGATCCCGGAACGGCATCTGCTCGCACTCCGGGTCCAGCCTTGACGATGTTGTGAAGTCCCCCTTAAGTAGATAGAATATAGGGGTAATATGAGGATAATGGAAAAGAAAATGGAAACTACTATTTAGGGTCTAGGGTTTATAGTCTCCCGTAAGTAGATAGAATATGGGGTATATCGGGATCTTATTATAATACACACAAAGCCATATTCTATCTACTTAAGGGGGGGCTATACACTGCGCAGACCGCCATGGACGGATCAACCTCACAACCTAGCTGACGGCTCCCCTTCCCTAGAATGTAGGGGCCTTTGAATCCACGGTCGCCTACAAATTGAACCCTTGCAACGTCAGTTTGCCAATCCTCTGGTGAGCTTTTCGCTATCCTGCTATACTGTGGTGAGGCGGCCATGCTTTCCACCCAAAAACCCCATTGCCTCAAGCTCCCCTTCACCATGAAGTTGCCACCATGACAAGTCATAATCATGACGTTCTGCAATGGGGCCGAACTTCCTACATACCCATGAATGGCAGGCCCTCTGCAACACAGACCCATTACGTGACAAGACAGGCCCCGCAATTAAGCAGCGTCTGCATAAAGTACGCGAATCCAAGATAATATATCTGGGATCCTCAATTGCTATTGTAGATACCTACGGCTCTATGAAGGAAGTCCTGCCATTTCCGTGGCCCTGGCTCATTTCTGAAGGTCACCTCAGCCTCCACCCACACCAGCCATTCCTCATCAAATTCGCCCTCCACCTCAGCGTGCGGCACGAGTCAAGACATGTCCAACAAATGCCGGAGGTCGGAATCACGCTGAAGGTGGAAGTCTATAGATTATACCTAGTTTTACCTAAACCCTAAACCCTACTTTTGGCCCTAAAGCCAACAACGAGTACCTACATCCGCCCAAGGGGAAGGATCACACACAGAACCCTGCGCGTGCCTTGTCTGTGCAAAGTTCCACGAAGATTTGTTGTTCTTCCGACTGTTCAAAAGCCTCCACAATGTCCCACCAGTCGAGCTTACCTGCAAGGCAGACGTGAGGTTCAAGTGGTGAAGGGCTTTTGCCACTGGCATGGCCAATGCAGCAAAGCAAGGGTGCCATTTGGTTGCTGATTTTCTGGACCGGGAGTAAGTGCCGAGGAGGATTGACCGGAGTTTGAAGGCTTTTTACTGGAAACTGTTAGGAATCTGTATGAAGTTACTATAATAAGGAATACCTATCACTAACTAGATGCCCACATCATGGCAGCTTAAACCCTACACCCTAAACGCCAGGGTACACGGGGATGGGAGTCAGTGGTCTCTCAACCAGCTTACTGTTACGAATTTGTATGAAGTTACTATATTAAGGAATACCTATCAGACCTATCATTCACTAGATGCCCACATCCTGGCAGCTTAAAGCCTACACCCTAAACGCCATAATGCCCTATAGCAACGTATTTTTTTTAACCCAGGACTGAGGTGCCGGCCTGAAAGAACTCTGCACTATAGCAACGTATGAAATGCCTTAAAAACAACCCAGGTAACCCTATACAGTAAGTCCCCCGTAAGTAAATAGAAGATGGGGGATCTGGTTATAGTATACCCAAAGCCACAGTCTATCTACTCAAGGGGGTCTATAAACCTTAAACCCCAAACTAACCCTAAATAGTAGTTTCCATTTTCTTTTCCTTTATCCCTATATAATACACCTATATTCTATCTATTTAAGGGGGACTATAAACCCTAAACTACCCTAAACCCTGAAGAGGGTTTAGGGAGCTACGCAAATCAGTCCTGCAGGATGATGGGAGTCAGAGTGGTCTGGTCTCTCAACCAGCTTGGCATAACAGAGGTATTTCCGTTTAGGGTTTAGGGCTTTGGGGTTGAGCACAACAGAGGTATCTCTGTTTAGGGAGGCTAGGGCGCAACAGAGGTATTTGTGGATGCCTAAAAAATCTTCAAATGAAGCGCGACAAGGAAAATGATCCGGCGGAACATCAGATTGCCTTTCTTTTCAAGGACCAAACCTTCTGGAACCCTAGGCCCTAAGCCCCAAGCCCAGGCTTGCTTCGTTGTCCTGGCCTTCTGCGACGTCTTCCCCGGACGACTTGCGCAGGGTGATGAACACATCTTGCAGCCTACTACAGGCTGAGCTGGAACCATGGCTACTCACGGTAGCAGCGCTGGCACCATCACAACGTCCAGCAACCCCTCTGCTGGAAATGACTTGGTTTCAGCACGCCCGGATATTCAGACTAATGCAAATACAGAAACCTTATGTTCAGCAAGCGCTCCAAAACTTACAGTCGAACTTGCCTGCCCGCGCCCCTGTCTTAGCTAGTTGTGCTACTTGGGACGGCCCGCTTGGGCTCGGTAGCACTCATATGAGCCATTGTCTAAACTCCTAGTATCCCCCTTAATAACCCCTATAGTAGTCCCCTATACAATCCCCTATATAACCCCCCTTTAAGGAGTAAAGACTATAGCTCCTATAACCTCGATAATCCCCGTTAAGGGGAGCCCTGATGGGGCTTAGGCTTTAGGCACCTCCGGTCTGCTGCGCCAAGCTCTAGGGACTGGTTTGGCCCGATGATCGCTTCATCCAGCTCCTGGTAAGATTTAGGGTTGAGGGCTTAGGGGTTTAGGTTTAGGATTTTGGGGGTTTCCCAGAATTTGGGGTACCTTTTTGGGCTTAGGGGTTTAGGTTTGAGGGTTAGGAGTTAGGGTTTAGGGTCTAGGATTTTGGGTTTTAAGGCTTAGTATCTTAGGGTTCAGGATTTAGGGTGGCAACCTGCAGATCGTTGACCTATCTACCTGGTACTTGGACTGGAAGTGTGAGATGGTTCGACCGGGGCTTAGACCAGCAAGCATGGAACTTCTGTGGTATGACCTCCTCATTCTCAGAATGCTCTGGATATCTGCAAGCTACCCAGCAGGTCCTGAGTACGGGCATCTTCATCGTCGTCAATGTCCAAACCCTGAGCTTGGCAAGCCATTTGCTACCAGTAGAGACAATCAGGAAGAGGTTTTGCCACTTGCATGGCTGAGGCAGCATGGTAAGGTTAGAACCTGGGGGACGAAATTTCAGGTCCAGAGTAAAGGGGGTCCAAAAAACTGGGATGTCCCTGTTGGGATTGCCTATGATTCAATGATCAGGGTTATAATATGGTTCTTTTGTATGGGCTGGGGCCCAGCTTTAAGGAAATCACCACGTCTTGTCACTCTTGTCAACGCCACGGGTCCACGTCCAGCGGCTGAAAGATGCCAGTCTTGTCGAAGTTCTGACAGACACCAGAGCGAGTGTCCTTCTCACGGCTCTCAACCCAGAACCCACAGCCCTGAACACTAAGCCCCAAACCTATAGTCCCCCTTAAGTAGATAGAATATGGCTTTGGGTATATTGTAAAAAGATCCCCATATACCCCATATTCTATCTACTTAAGGGGGACTATACACCCTAAGCCCTAACAAAGCCGAAATCCAGGCCCTGACTCACCACAGTGAGTCCTTCTCACACTTTACGCTGCTTTCACCCATGTAGGCAGTCAAGCAGAAATCAGACTTGCAGTCCTTGGCTTAGGTCAACTCACACGATGGATGTTACCACCTCAAACAGTGATGTACTACAAGGTCTGGATATCGAGTAAGATATAGGTTGACACACCCCAATGCATTACAATAACATGTATCTACACATTACATACATACTTAAGAAAACATTTAGTCTTATTATCATTATTCTCATTCATATTATTGGCATGTATCTACACATTACATACAGATATATCCACTTAATAACAACTCTATTATTCTCATCAGTATTCTTGTTATTGTTACTGTTATGATTATCACTGCCAAGCCCACATCCAAGCCAAGGGGCTCGGAAGTCATTCCAGTTCTTGTGGTAGCATACCCTGATTTTGCCTCCAGTGCATTTTTCTGGGGGTTGCTGTTAAGAAGGAACTTAAATTAAGTTACTATATTAGGGAAACCCCATTATTTACTATATATACCCATTATGGTAACTTAATTTAAGTTCCTTAACAGCAACCCAGTTTTTTGGGGTGATGGCAAGAAGAAACTTTGCCTCCTCGTAGGAAGGAAGGAAGGATGAAATGGCTCCCATGTAATCACCATACGAAACTCAAACCCTAAACCCTAAACCCTAAGCCCTAAACCCAATTGCCCTGCATCCTAAAGCCTCGACCCCTAGACCCTAAACCCTGTTAAGAAGAGACACGGCCCAGAGCAGGAGGACTCACCCCAAACCTGGTTTAGGGTTTAGGGGCTTTCTAACGTTTGAACCCCAAAAAACCCCGTATACCTTTGTCCCCATAATTACCCCAAAAATATAGAACCCTGCTATGCCCCTAGATATCCACCCTGAACCCTGAACCCTTATGCCCCTAGACATTCTTTTGCCAGTAGACCCTAAACCCTAAACCCTAAATCCTAAACCCTAAACCCTACATCCTAAACCCCTAAACCCTAAATCCTAAACCCTAACCCCTAAACCCTAAACGCTGAATCCTAAACCCTAACTCCTAAGTAGCTAAGAAGCTGAGGATGACCAACTGCTGCGGATGTTTGCCATGGATGTTGAACTCAGCGAAGTGTTCCACGAAATACCTTCGTGGTATAGTCCCCCTTAAGTAGATAGAATATAAGGCTTTATAGGGGCTACATAGGGATAATGGAAAAGAATATGGAAACCACTGTTCAGGGCTTAGGGTTTGGGGTCCCCCTGAGGTAGATAGAACATGGGGTATATGGGGATCTTTTTATAATATATCCAAAGCCACATTCTATCTACTTAAGCGGGAATATAGGCCGGGTCCTGCCCTCAAACAGTAACAGTCTCTAACAGGGGTAATATGAATGACATGATAAATGTGATCCAGCAGTTAAAGAGTGGGGGGGGGGGCAGGCAGTACCCGAGTTGTAGGCACTTACAAAACTGAACTATGGTCAATACCGCGAAGATCACCGGGACTTGGATTAGTGGTACTACTGCGAAGATCGCCGGGACTTGGATTAGTGGAACTAATGACCTCGTATCATGACCCCGGCAACTCCGCAAAAAGTCCCTGCAGAATCCACGAGCCTCACCCCACCATGTCCAACCATGTCATGTCCTAGAAACATACTTATCCCCCCCCCCAGAATTTTACTCGGAGGGTCAGGGGGACTTATTAAGTAGGTTAATAACCCCCATAACCCATACGTAACCCTAGTTATCCTAATTACTAACCCACTTACTGAGTCCCCCCCCAGGAATTCTATCCCCTCAACAACATGGCCACTGGAGCTCCCCCCGCATAAATCCCAACAACACCCAGGGTTTAGGGGGTTTAGGGGTTTTGGGACCCTACAGTAACAAACCGTTTGTCAAGTCCTACGGCAACATTCTCATCACTTCGCAGCAGCATAAAACAACACACAGAAATAACGCAGTGGATTCCACAGTGTGTTCTCCAATACATCACGAGGCCTGTGACACGGGGATAGCCACGGGAAAGGACTAGATGCCACCAGCAGAGAAGACCAGCATGATGTGGTTAAGGTTTAGGGTCCAGGGTTTGTGGTTTACGGGCAACCCCAATTTCTTACAGCTTAGCAGGAACTACACCCCAACTAAACGGAATAACCCATAAAACTACCCCCTAAACCTTGGGTCCTGCCCCCACCCAGTAACGGCCTATAATAGGGGTAATATTGAAGGCTATATATAACCATAATATACATATTATCCAACTGTTGCTGGGTGGGGGCAGGACCCAACCTAAACCCACCAGCAGAGGAGCTCCAAAGAGTTCGTAGGAACGGCAAAGTTCGACTTTAGGATGCGAAGTGGCAGGTCGAAGACTGTGCTCCTCTGAAGGGGACGCCATGGGAGTTTAGGGTTTAGGGTAACTTCAAACATACCCCTCAAATAGAATGGAGGGGGGGAATTCCTCAAACATGTCGTTGCCTTTTTGGCGGGTACCTATAATAACGCCTCTAATACATTGGGTATACCAGGCGTGCGTCTATGTATGGAAACAACAATGTAGGCCAGCAAGGTGTATAAGGGGTATGGAGGGACTGCAGAACAATTCCATAGGGAAAATGCATGAGCCCACAGGGCCCTAGAACACGAGCGGCGACCCGCCGCATGGCAGGGTATCTGAGCATACTTCTTGAAGCACTCTCATCTTGTCACGGGCCAAATGACGATTAGAGTTAGACCTACGGAAATGTATAGATAAGCTAGGTTCTTTGGAATAGCCACCCCAGGCAGCATTCCAATAAACAGGATTCCCTTGTGTGGGGTGCTTGTACAAGGGCTCGCCCTCTGCTGTCTACTAAATCCCAGCTAGGAATGTCAACGTTTAACTCCTCACCGTATCCCGACCCCGAACCTTAAATCACCATAGAGAACCAGGAAAGGAAGCCGCGCAAAACTTCCTAGGCCGTCGCCTGGGCTTGATGAAGACCTCATTGGACCAGTCAGAAGTTGCCACATGCTCCTGTCTCTTGGAGATTAGAAGCTTGCATTTTTCCGGTTTAGGGTTTACGGTTTAGAAGTTTGGGGTTTAGGGTCAGGGGGTTGCTACCTGGCGATATGATATAGGAGGAGTATCCCAGACCCCTGGGAGGATCTAAAAATTAGATCCCCTATATAGACCCATTATAACCCCTATATAATCCTTATAGAATTCCGCTAATGGTTCGAGGGGATCTAATTTTTAGATCCTTCTGGGGGTCTGGGATAGGGCCGGGCTGCATCCGAGCCTGGTTGTGGTTGTAACCCTCGATCTGGAAGCGATAGTTGTACTGGCACTTCAAATCTTTGCCCGTGGGTTCGTAGCCACCATTCAGTGGGTAGCCCTTGCTGCCTCGGGTACTGCAGCAGCAACGTGATTGCATTGCATGTCATAGGCATATAATAAAGAACGGCCATTGCACTTTGCAGCAACGGCAAGGCTACAACTGAAAAGCCGGAGGTAGCACAGGACAAAGCCGCCCCTAGTCGGAGCCCTTCTCCCGCCTGAGGCAGAGAAGAAAAACTCCACAATGATGTTGCTCTCACTCTTCATATCCACGCGCTCTTGATTCGCCATGTCGATACAAATCTCATCACCCTCTAGCCTTGGTCATCAGCAGGACCGTGGCTGCGTGCTGATGAAGCGTAAGAAAAGTAGTAAGAATACTGATACTCCTACTATTGTTCCAATTACTAGTACTAGTACTGGTACTTGTTCTAGTACTGTACGAGTATTACTACTGGCACTACTAGTATTGCTACGACTGCTGCAGCTGCCAAGACGAGACAATTTCTACATTACAATTACCCCTTATGTTCGTAGATTACTGTGTTATCGTTTTTCTCGTTTCCAAGCATGTCGGAAAATTGCAAAAACGCTCCAGCAACCCGCGAGAGGGATCGGGGTCCGCTTTGGCCTTCACGCAGAGGAACACCTCAGCCGGTCTCTGGAGTTTGCCTCCTGCGTTACCACGCTGGAATGGAAACATGAACAAAGAAAACAGGCGGGGTCGTAATCAAGAAGCCGATTGCTGCACGCCCGTGCGTTTGCGCCACCGCAAAATGACCCCCTGCATCGGGCAAAGGTGGGGCAATCATGCAAATGCACCACTTTACCTTGCTTTTAGCAGCAAGGCCTGCGCTCATATTAGACCCCTATATACTGTGACTGTAGTTTCAATTGTGTCATCCATTATCCCAATAACCCCAATATACTATGGAGGTTTTTCTTGTATCTTCCATTATCCCAATGTACTCCAATGTACTATAGTCGTTTCCATTGTATTTTCCATTATCCCAATATTACCCCGATATACGATAGTAGTTTCCATTTCCTCTCCATTATCCCAGCAAAACCACAATATACTAAAGTAGTTTCCATTTTCCTTTCCATTATCCTGATAATGCGATTGCTGGATCTAGTTGGCAGCGAGATTGGCCTGGGTCGATGCTGACCAAGTAGCTATCGGGTATGCTAGGCGAATGACACAAGGATTCAAGTGCCGCTCTAGCCCTTAAGCACCAAACGAACTACCAGTATCATGTTGATGTCCGTTTGGGGTAGTCTGTGATAGAAGAGTGCAAGGACTCAATGACTGTAATATTGGTAAGTATTCAGGCTTCTTTTTATGTCAGGCTGCACAATCTTGCAACCATGTGAGTTACAGTCTAAGCTCCTAGCATCCCCCTGAATAGCCCCTACAATGCTCCCTTATATAATCCCCTATAAACCCCCTGTAGGGAGTTGAGACTCTAACCCCAAAGCCCTGAGCCCTAAACCCTAGACCCTAAACCCTCTATATGAGACTATAGCCCCCTATATACTTCCTACCCTTTAAGGAGTTTAGACTATAGCTCATCTGACTCCTGCCTGGTCGGGCTGTTCCACATGGGTCGCGATCACACGCCAGCTGGTGTTGATCCTCAGAGTTCACGCAGAGCGTCTAGGGTTTGCGGCTTAGGGTTTAGGATTTAGGGGCTTAGGGATGGGAAAGGGTTGCGGGTAGCTGACATGCAATCCCTGACGCATCTGCTGTTGGCAAGATGTGATGAAATGCGCTGTGCTTGACACTGATAGCCCTGCCGGGCATTACTGCCAATCCACGCACATGTGATAACCCTGCCTGCACAAAAGTTGGGCGGTGTAAACCCCTCAAGGGGGACTGGCGTGTTCATAACCTGGAACATCCGGAGCTCCAGCAGTCTCATTCCTTTGAACCTTCCGCGAAGAACTCCAGCAAAAGAACTGCAAGTGTTTACTTGAGTAATAAGAATTCCTGTCTTCCTGTCGTGTGTTTGTCGCACCACCATTCCTATGGCCATGCCCAAATACTCTCGCGCAAAGCGAAGTGCAAGGAAATGAACCCGAACATGGTGGAATCCACAATCAGGGTAAGTTTGGGAGCCCTATAAAAATTGAAGTCTCATGGCGTTATAAGGATTCTACAGGAATCAAGGGTAGCAAAAATTTACAATTATTTTCAAAGCCTACCGGCCCACAAGCTAGGCCCCTGAGCCCCAAACCCCAAAACCCTAACATCTTTGAGCTGAGCCCTGCACCCTCCAGCAAGCTTTCCCACTCGGTGTGAGGATGCTGTTGTGACCGCCTCATCCTTCAGCTCCTGCAAAGCCCAAAGTGCGGGTTCTTATATTGGGGTTATATTTGGATAATGGAAAAGAAAATGGAAACTATTAGAATAATGGGGCTATATTGGGGTTATATTGGGGTTGTATTTGGATAATGGAAAAGAAAATGGAAACTATTAGAATAATTTCTCGATTTGTGCGTGTCATCCTTGCGCAGGGGCCATGCTAATCTTCCCTGTATCGTTCCAATGTTATCGGAGGATTC